TGTGTGCAGTTTTGATCTCCTTTAATGAGGAATGATGCTCTTGCTCTCAAGGGAGTGCAGAGGTGGTTTATCAGGCTGATTCCAGGGATGGCGGGTCTGACATATGAGGAGAGATTGACTAGATTGGGATTGTTTTCGCTAGAGTTCAGATGAATGAGGGGTGATCTCATAGAGACTTGTAAAATTCTAACAGAACTGGACAGGGTAGTTGCAGAGAGGATGTTCCCAATGGTAAGTGTGTCCAGAACCAGGTCACAGTATGAGAATTCAGGGTAGACGATTTAGGACGGAGATGAGGAGACATTTCTTTATCCAAAGAGTGGTGTGCTTGTGAAATTCATTACCACAGGAAGTAGTTGATGCCAAAACATTGAATGTCACCAAGAGGTGACTAGATATAGCTCTTGGGGCAAATTGGATCAAGGATAATGGGGAGAAAGCAGGATTAGGCTGTTGAGTTGGACGATCAGCCTTGATCGTGAAGAATGGCAGAGCAGGCTCAGGGGACCCAATGGCCTGCTCCTGCTCCTATCTTCTGTATTTCTATGTTTCTATATAACCATTCAAAATAAACATTGCCCTTTTAACACATGTTTGCAAAATATTTTTTACTGTAGAATGGTATAATCTGGAATTGTGTACCTTCTAGGTATTAGGGGATCAAATTATTTTTGTGACAAGACCAGACAAGAAGAAGATTCTCTTCTATAATGACAGAACCTGCCAGTTTACAATGGATGAAGGTGAGCATTTTTCAGTAACTTAGTCAGCTTCATTCCAATAGCTGTTTACAGTACAAAATTACTATGATACAGGAGCAGAATTAAGTCATTTGGCCCAATGAGTCTCCTCCGCCATTTGGTCATGACTGATATGTTTCTCAAACCCATTCCCCTGCCGCCTTCTTGTAACCCTTGATCCCCTCACCAATCAAGAACTGTCCATCTATCATAAATACACTCAATGACTTAATCTCTGTGGCAGTGAGTTTCACAGAGTAACCACCCTGTTGCTGAAGAAATTCCTCTCATCTCAATTTTTAAGGATTGTCTCTTCGCTCTGTGGCTGTGCCCTCTGGTCCTGGTTCCTCTTACTAGTGGAAACGTCTTCACGTCCTCTCTATCCAAGCCTCTCAGTATTCTGTAAGTTTCAATCAAATCCCCCCTCTTCCTAAACTCCATTGAGTACAGACCCAGAGTCCTCAACAGCTCCTCATATGACAAGCCCTTCATCCCCAAGTCTTTCTTGTAAACTTCCTCTGACCCCTCCAAGGCCTGCACACCCTTCCTTAGATGTGGGCCCAAAACTGCTCACAGTATTCCAAATGCAGTGTGACCAGAGCCTTATACAGACTCAGCAGTACATCTCTGCTGTTGTATTCTAGCTGTCTTGAATAGAATGCTAGTATTGCATTTGCCTTCCTAACTGCCAACTTGAACTGCATGTTAACTTTTAAGAGAATCCTGAACTAGGACTCCCAAGTGGCTTTTTGTGCTTCAGATTTTCAAAGCCTTTCCCCATTTAGAAAATGATCTACGCCTGTATTCTTCCTATCAAAATGTATAACCTTAAACTTTCCCATATCGTATTCAATCTGCCCCTTCTTTGCTCACTCTCCTAGTCTGTCCAGTCCTTCTGCAGCCTCCCTGCATCCTCAACACTACCTGTCCCTCCACTTATCTTTGTGTCCTCTGCAAATTTAGCAACGATGCCCTCCATTCCTTCGTCCAAATCGTTTTTGTATAATGTGAATAGTTGTGGTCCTAACATGGACTCTACAGATCTCCCCTAGTCACCAGCTGCCATTCTGAAAAGGTTCCCTTCATCCCTACTCTCTGTCTTCTCCTCGTCCGCCAATCCTCTATCCATGTCGGTGCCTTGTCCCTAAGTGTAGAGTTCTGGAGCAAGTAAATTATATAAAGCTGCAAGCTATCAGTGGTGATAGCGATGATTGTGTTAGTGGTAGTGGGGGGCAGGGTATGGGGTGTGTTGGAGAGACCGTCTGAGATGATGGGTCCCAAAACCCTGTTTAGGGGATCAGCAAGGTTTTTTAAAAAAAAAAAAGGGCATTGGAGTGAGAAAGTGTAAGGATCGGATAGGATGTATGGAATGGGGAACCATTTGTTGACAGTTAACTGCCAGATTAACCAATCAGAATTATATGATGTGCTCTCCATGGTAATGCCTCAACCTTTCAGAATCAACTTGCCAACCAAACAACTCTGATCTTTTACTATTATTACTACTGCTGCCTTTATGTAATCATTATTATGTTGTCCACTTCTGTTCCCATGCAGCTGTCTCTTTTTGTAGTATTATGTGCATGGAAATATTTATTTTCCAGTATTGGTCAACTTGCACCAATATCTCTATAATGGTGATTATGTCAAACATATTTTTCTCTATTCATACTGCTGTTTTGCAAATCTTGTTACAGATGCTTCAGGTATTCAGATAAAGAACCTTAGATTTTTTTATTTTTTTTATCAGTGTTCTTTACATGAACCTTATTTGTTGATTTGTCATTGCCTTTTAAACTCTTGAACTTTTCTTTCCTGTCGCACTCTGCTTGCCTTTACCCCAGTGGCTACACTTCTACATTGCCTTGACCTCTTTCTTTAAATTTAAATCACCTGTTTCCCTGATCACCATAGCACCCCCAACCTTAGTTACAAGCCCTACACGTTGCCCTAATTATTAAGTTTGCCAGCACGTTGATCCTGTCCCAGTTTAAGTTGAACCCATCCCAGTGGAACAATCCCTCTTTTTTTAAACAGTATTGGTGCTAGTGCCCTGTGAATAAAAATCCCTTCTTTCTGCACCACTCCTTTAGCCACATATACAATTCTTAAATCTGCTGGACCGTATACCATTTCAAATCTGGCTTCAGTTCAATTCAGTGATTATTACCTTTTGAGGTTCTGCATTTTAGTGTGGTCTGATTTGTCCTAGTTCTGCAAATGAAAATTATAACTACAGTTTTCATTTGCTTGTACAGAACTTGGATATTGCTGAAAAGCTATACTTTTGTTGAAACCTTTTATTGAACATTTATACTGTATTGGAGGACAGTGCTAACTGGTTAAGAAGTGAACTCTGACTGTTAGAGCTATGGAGAATACAACAATTAATAACCACTGACAAGCTTTCTTTAAATTTTAAACAAAGCAGGTTTAACTCTGACTGCTGAAGGCATTACCCTGAGAAATGATTCGAAGAATGGTTGTCAGTAGTTTTGTTGAGTTCTGTGTGTGTACATGTTCTTTCTGTCTGCGAGGAACAGGGCCCTTATATAAATGTATACGACTTCCAGTAGGCGCAAGTGCACCATGCTTTGAGCCCAAATTATCTTACATTGGTTGTCAGCATAATACTATACACACTCAGAACTATGTAACAAATGTCCATCTGCAGAATCCCATCTAATGTTGGACATTGTCTTGAGAGTTTTGCAAGCATAGGCTGGTTTGGGTACAGTCAGTATCTTGCTTGTTATGGACAGCCAAAGGGATATGCTATTTGATTTGACCGCCAAACAAATCATGTCTTTTTCAGTAATATCTACAGTTTTGTTTCATAACCATTAATTACAATTTAGGTTTTATTCTTGTGTAGAATTTCAGAAGCTATGGAGGAGTATTCCGGTGGATTCAATGGATGAAGAGAAGATTGAGGAGTATTTGAAAAAGCAGGGCATTTCCTCAATGCAGGAGACAGGACCAAAGAAGGTGGTACGTACATTTGGGGGATAGACATGAAGTTGGGTTGAGACCTCAGCCAGATCAATCATGATCATATTGAAGAGCAGGTTTGAAGGGCTAACTACAAGAGGGACAATATTGTGGTAAAGCTGGGTGTCATCAATTAACAAGTGAAAAGTAACACAGTTTTCAGATATCGTCACCAAGGGGCAACATGAGAAATAGGAGGGGCCAAAGAAAGATGCTTGTGAGAACACTGGAAGTAATGATGAGATGAGCAAGGAGGATGCAACAAGTTAGAAAAAATGAAAGAACAATGCAAATCCAAGTTGAAGTAGAAGGAATTTTAGAGGAAGATTGGCACAGTGGACTGGGGGAAGGGAGTAAAACAGCAGAAGATGGTTTCAATCTGAGTGCATGAAGTTGATGTTACCTCAAATGTATTGATTCGAAGCAAGTATGGATGAGGAAGAATTTTTGTAAGATGGTCAGCAGAAGTTAGAGGTAAGAAGTTAATCTTTGTGTTCCAGGATGAAAAGGGAATGGGCTGAAGAATAGTGGTGAAGGGGGATAGTAGGAACTGCAGATGCTGGAGAATCCAAGACAACAAGGTGCAGGGCTGGATGAACACAGCAGGCCAAGCAGCATCATAGGAGCAGAAAGGCTGACGTTTCGGGCCTAGACCCTTCATC